TAAAAACAAGAAACACAAAACTCGGCTGGAGGCACGGCCTACAGCAATTCGCCGCTGGCAAGGCTATCTTTTTCCCCTTTTTACTGCGTTTTTTCTAAAAAAAATATATATATAGCTTTGTCTCTGTTAAAGCCATTTATTTTTTAGAACAAAAGCGGTAAAAAAAGCTGGTGAGAATGGTTGATTAAAACTAACATGCTTTACAAAAATAATTTAACCCTAACTTTCACTAACTTCAATAACCAAAGTCATCGCACTGACGAGGTCCAATTGTGGTAATGGAAAGAAATGCATACGATTTAATGGATGGAAACACTTCTTACCATTATAATAAACTCAAAAATTTTTTAATTTTCATTTCTTACAACCCTTTTCGTTTTTTCTCTTTATTTCATTCCTTCTTGTTATAGCTACTTTGTATTAAAGTGCCACTCAGCAAAGCATGATAAGTGGCAGTACATGCAGTACAACTTCGACAGGGTTAAAAGACTCCAGTCTAACGGTGCTATCAAGAATTTCCAAAAAGAAGGGACGCTCTTCATGAGAGGAGCATAAAAATACAGCAGTAAGGTGATCTGTCAAATGATGTCTTGAGAGGAAAAGCGCGGCGATAAGTAACATCGCTGACGTGCGATGCATTGAGGGCTCAACTCAGCGAGCGGAACAACCAATCCCTCTACGATTCGTTCATTTGTTTCGATGGTAAATTGGTACCGGCATAAATCAGGAAGTCAAATCCACCAACTTGTTCGCAAGTAATTTTTGAAAGAGAAACTCCTGAGAGTCTCACCAGTGCATGATTACTGTTAGCGTTTGCCACCGCTGGCGTTAACTAGCCTCACCTATCATAGACAGCGAATACGAACGGGTTCTTGTCTTTTTGGTAAAATATACTGGCAAAAGGGTTATTATATGCGGCACCTATGTAATAATAAATTAACAGTGTGGATAGCTGCTAACGTGACCAGATGGCCAAAAGTTTTTGATTTTTTGACAAAATGCACTGGTAAAAGAGTTATGTATGATGCCCATGTAATAATAAATTAACAGAGGGATAGCTGCTACAGCAAAGAGGAAGCCCACGTGACAGATTTTGAAAAGTTACGTGGATGCAACAAGCTCAAAATTGATGATACTGGAAAAACTGCTAGCTGGGTCAACGACGAGAAGCAGGATGAAAAAGCATTTTCCGGAATATCAAATTTAGTTATTGCCGAAAAGCAAAAAAAAAAAAAAACAACCAAACAGTTAACTTACAGTGAAGGCTGAAAATCGGCCAGCAACCAGTAAGAAAAAATGCTCGATACAATGATCGAGAGTGAAGCAGCAAATCCTTTCAGTATATTATCCGCATATTTTACTACTAGAGCAATTACAAGACCTCCGTAAGCCTGCAAGAAAATTATTTTCAAAGCAGTTATCGCGACCCTAAAAATTAATATTCTAAACTAATGTTTTTGTACAGTTCCTCGCAAGTTTTTATTCCTAACGGCACTGTTTTTTCCGGCAGGTACTTCCAGCTAGAAGAATTGGAACTGGCACTATGACTGTCAGAAATTATTGTAATGACTCCCAATAATCTCAGACATGACCTTGCTCAAGAAAACTCAGGAGCCCAGATATTTCGGTTGCAGAGTCGCGTCAAATTTCACATATGCCTAGCCGAGCTGACCCAAGTTTTAGTAGTTGCCAGGCACAGTGGTGTAGTGGGTAACACGCCGCGTCCGCACGTGAAAGGAATCGGTTCGACTCCCCGCCGATCCACAATCATTTTCGAAAAACGAATCCGTTCAGGACAAAAATGGACCACAACAAACCAAACAAACCTGTAGCAAAACAACAATCCAAATGATAGTATTATATCCTTGGAAAAAACCGTGCTGATTAACTTTCGCAGAATCGTACAACCATACCATGAAAAAGCCACCAAAAATACTGAAGAAAGCTGCAAAAAAAATGATTTTTGCTCTCTGTAAGATTAATTACAAGGAAAATCGAGTTAAAAAAATTCTTTCATATTTTAAAATGAATGAACAAAAAACAGGTTTAACCACACAATCCCACGAATTACTTACATCTGTTGGGACGTTCAGGACTTCCAGGAAAAAGCTAAATATAAAAGAAATGAAAAAAAAAACTCATTAAAATAAAAGAATATTTTCAACGTAATATTTGGGACGACGGGCATTACACCATTAGACAGTCCCAAAGAATTGGCAAACATATATCAAATAGGTGGTCGGTACTAACCGGATGCATGTAGCTCAAGATCGAAGGGCCTGGCAAAACTGCACTCGGCAACTGGGAGCATCCCAGTAAAATCACTGATAAGAGAAGTTCGTAATGGTAACCAAAGTGATCTTAGCAAATTATTCAAGGATTTTGCCTGCCCCACTGGCAGAGACGAATCCTCAATCTTCGCTAAAACAGCGACGCTACTTGCTATCATGCTACACTTCACTGACAAGAGGAATTCGAAATGGCAGCCAAGGCAAGTAGCGCTGTTCCAAAAGTGATCATATTATGAAGCTTATTTGTTTTAGACTGAAAATAACGGAAATATGGGACAACAGACAGAAATCCCGCAACACAAGCGGAGATGAATGGGAAAAAAAATGATGAAAAACGCAATTTTTGCACAAATCAAGAAAGCTAGTGAAGAATTACCAAGCTGAAGATTTCGCATCCAAAGCGACACGGATGTACCTTTCAGTACTTTTTCGAAATATACACCAGCAAATCCGCTTGAAAAACATGCTGCAATAACGGCAAGCAATCCAACCATCTGGTCAAAATCGACCCGCAAAAACGAAGTCGGTGCTCCAAGAGTTACATTACTCGAAGTTTTAGCTAACTGAAATTAAAAATTTTTTGTAAAACCTTGACTAAGCGATCGAAGTCACTACCATATATATATGTTTGCATGTATATATGTATGTAGGTGTGTATGTATGTATGTATGTATGTGTGTATGTATGTGTGCATGTATGTGTATGTTACACAGGTTTGCAAGCAACTGTTTCTCAAACACATTCATTGAAACGAAAACGAAGATACCAGCGCCATAAAACAATAACTCATACCTGTACTAAGGCAATTCCAGCTGTTAATAAAATTAGCGATAACCATTGCATCCCGTTCAATCTCCTTCCCAACAGAGCAACCGAGAAAAACGCTGTTGTGAGGATTTTCAATTGATATGTTACCTGAATAAGCAGTTATATTTCAACTAAAAAATTAATTTTTCACAAAATCAATTAAAATTCTTATTAAATTCTTACTCA